GGTCGAGGTAGCTTTCAGACTTCCTCATGCCCATGCTGGGGTTCTGTTGGCGTGAGTTTACACGGAACTTGCGCGTGCTGTCGTCTTTACTGTGAGCCCATATGAATCACTGACCAGCTGTTTGGAAATCTGTTTCCCTAGGGTCATCCACCACGTCTGTCTCTTACCTTTCCATGCCCCCCACCCCCCATTCCATAGTGATCTCTGAGCCTTGGGAGGCGGAAATATGACGCAGGTGTCCAGTTCAGGAATAATCACTGTGCAGTCTCCTGTTCGCTACACGTTGGCCAATTGAAGTCACTTCTTTCTGTTGCTTCTAAAATTAGACTCTTCTGTGTGGTGGGAGGTTTGAATTAGGAGATGCTCATCATTTCTACTGTTTAGGGCAATTGCTGAACCCAGACCAGTCAGATGCCAGATGTCCAGCAAGCTCCCCTGCCCCACGCTCCCACCCCAGGAACTTCTTTTTATTGTACAGGAGCCTCTGTTGGCTTCACTTGGCTTTTCAGTCTGTGGGTCAGGCTGGTTTGCTAAGGTTGCAGAGACTTTGAGTTTATAACACCGAGTTAGTTGAGAGGTTCTAGCACAAGGGGTGTGTTGGGAAAGGAAGAAGAGAGCACAGCACTAAGACCTCGTCAGGCAGATCAGTTTCTGTGCTTTCAAACTCACATTAAACAGTGAAGGTTAAATATTCTTCTGGAACTGAAGAGTCCTCAGTCTCCTTGGTGAACCTTGAGGTAGATAGGTGGATCCAGAGTTTTTTTCCTGAGCTTGGGGATGTCATCTCTGCCATTCTCCTTAGGAGACGGATTCAGCTCTCTGGCTACCTAAGAGTGGCTACCTCCTCCAGATTCAGTCTGAGCCAAGCCTTTGCAACCTGGAACTTTCGGTTTGCTGGCACTGCACCTTCATTTATCCCTGCCTTTCACAACGGGGCATGGCAGATTGTTCCTAGACACCCTGACTTGATATGGTTCCAGGGGCCCAGGGTGTCTCAATCAAACAATAGCGTTCCTCTCTAGATGGCACTCAGTCCCAGCCCCTGAGACTTGAGGAGCAAACAGCGCTCTCCACTGCTGACTCCTCATGCTGGAGCAATCAGCCTTGCTGGAGGCTTCATAGAACCCTGGACTTGTCACAGGATAGGGAAGCCTGCTCCTTTCCATCTTTCAGAGGAGGCTTCCATGTCCCCTTCCCCTGCGGGAAGCTAGCTCTGTGCTCTCTGCTGCTTTCCTTTGGGTCTGGCTGCTTCTCACTTTCTGCTGTGATGCCGACGCTCTTCTCTCTGTAACAGGGCTGCTTCCTTGCTCCCCTGACTCTTCTCATTCACTGCACGTGGTTTCTTTTCCTGTTGCTGAGATAAAACACTGTGGTAAAAGCAACTTACGGAAGAGGCTTTGTTTCGGATCACAGTTTGAGGGTATATGGCAGGAGTCGTGGTGGCGGGAGCTCGAGGAAGTTATCACTTGGATTCTGAAGCTTGCTGTTCAGTTCAGGATGGCGGCCCTTGGAGTGGTGCTGGCCACAGTGGACAGGTCTTCCTGATTAACCCCAATTAACCAGAACTAGATAATTGGACACACTTAGAGACTTGTCTCCAAGGTGATTCAAGATCCCATTAAGTTGAAAATCAATATCACATCGTGTAACATGCTGACAACTTCCAATCTGCCATCTTACCTCAAACAACCTCATAACCCTGTGTCTTGCTTATAAACCTGCACTGGCTTCAGATTAAACCTCAAACACTTCAGAAAAGGTTCCCATCATCTTCACGGCTGTTTATTTACCTACCATCATCTCTAACGGACCCTCAGCATCCTCCACTCATTCTGCTAAGCCACACTGTGACCCTTGGCTCTCACGTGCCCCTGGATCCCCAGCATACCTCTCTCTCCAGCCTAAAGCATTTTCTTTAGCCAGATGCTATGGCAGAAGTCTGGACCCTTCTCATATATGAGATTTTTTTTTCTTAGAGACTCCATCCATTCCTTATTCTTTAAAATAACTTAAAAACTATTTATTGAATACTTTCTAGGTGGCAGGCACTATCTAAGACATTGTGTCTACAGGAGGGAAGAAAATAAAACAATTCCATGAGCTCGTGAAGCTTTTATTTTTGTTGGGGAGCTGGAGACAGAGATAGCCAACGAAGTCCCTATTTGAAATTTGGAACCACTGCCTCTTTCCTTTGCTTAATCAGAACATTTTTCCATTAGGTGGAAAAGAACCCAGTTACCAAATGTCAGACAGTGATTTACAAATCAGAGATCTTAACTCTAGAGTTCCATTCATTCTTTTTTTAAAAAGATGGTGATACTGTTCTTTTTTAAAAAATATTTTATTTATTATTTTTTATCTTATGTGTATGTGTGTATTGCCTGCATGCGTGTGAGTGCACCCATGTGCAATTCCATGGAGGTCAGAAGAGGGCTTCGGATTCCCCTGGAACTGGAGTTAAGGACTGTTCATAGCTGCCAAGTGGGTGCTGGGAATCGAATCCGGGTCCTCTGCAAAAGCAGTCAGTGCTCATAACCGCTGAGCCATCTCTCCAGCCCCAGAGTTTCATTATTTCTAACTAGTTGTCTGAGCCTAAGGCAAATCATTGGACCATTTTGACCATGAGCAGTACCCTCAATCAAGTGACCTGAAAGATCCTTTCAAATCTTTGGTTTTACTTTTCAAAACATTAGACTGAAATAATTTTTAAAAGTTTGTAGGTTACAATTTAAAATACTCGTAAAACAAGCCATTTTCCTATGAAATATAAATTTGACCATTGACAGAGAAGGCAGCTCTAGATCTACAGGAAGGATTGTGTGTGTGTGTGTGTGTGTGTGTACATGCGCATGTACGTGTGCATTTGTGTGTGTGTGCATGTTCATTTGTACGTTGGGAGAAGTACATGTGCATGTATGTGGAGGACAGAGGTCAACTTTAGGTGTAATTTCTCAGCAGCTGTCCAACTTAGTTTGGAAGATCTAGGATGTAGGGCTCACCAACTAAGCTAGGATGACCAGTGAGCTCCAGGGATCACCCACCTGTCTCTACCCACCCCCTGCGTAGGGCCAGAAGCATGTGTGTGCTGGGGACTGTACTCAGACCCTTGCTTGTGTGGCAAGCACTTTACCAACTGAGTCCCAGCTCAGGAAACTTACATATTTAAAATATTTTTGTTACTTTTATTTTACATTTATGTGTGTACTGCCTGCATGTAGGTAGGTACACCTGTGTCATGCAATGCCCTCAGAGGAAAGAAGAAGGTGTTTAATCCCCTGGAACTGGAGTTACAGACAGTTGTTAGCTACCATGTGGGTGCTAGGAATTGAACCTGGGTCTTCTGCAAGAACAGCCAGTGCTCATAACCACTGAGCCGTCTCTCCAGCCCCGACTGGGCTTGCAGCCAAACTAAGATTGATTTGGCTTCCTGCTTGCCTTTCATATATCAGCTGTGAGACTTTAGTCAAAAAGAAGCCTGTTTTCTTCATCTATAACACAGGAAAATTGACAGCAGCTATTTCATCTGGAGGGCGTAGGCATAAATACTGTACATGGAAAGAGCTTGGTGAGACGTCTGCTGTACTGCAAGCACTCAGAAAACAGCATGAAACAACACAGGGCAGCCATCACTCCATGAAGAATACCTCGAGGCCATTCATCCTGTCCATTTTCCTCAGCTCATTCCCCACTGTCCAGGTTTCATTCTTGTCCAAAGAGGGAAGTGACTGAAGAGCCCAGTATCGGTCTGTACTATGGATGGTTACAAAAGGAAAATGTTTGCACACATCAGGTGTGCAGACTCTTCTCAGGACATTACATGAGTGGTCTTTTTAGTCATCTCAAACACCTTCTAAAGGAAGTTATCATTGTGTTTACTTTACAGAGTAGCAATTTGAGATGTAGACAGATTACCAACCTTGTCCAAAGTCACAGAGCTAGCAAGTACTCAAGCTGGGATTTGAACTCCGGCTTGGTTCCAGAGTCTCTGCTTTTAACCCTTACCCTACATTGCCTCCCTTAAATGCTAGCACTCACATCCCTGACCACAAGAGAAGAGGACTTTTATCTCCATAGAAACAATTTTTTGCTAGTTTTGCTTTTCAAGAGCAAACCCCAAACCCACGCTTGACCTTAGAACACACAGAGGATGCCTGAAAGGGGCTGTGGCTTTCAGAGTCTTCCCAGCACTGCTGTGGAGACTTCTCAGTGATAGCTGAGCTGGTGGTGACACTCCCCACGAGAGGCCCAGGGTCTTGAGGGCCATTAGCCAGCCTTGTCATGTTGACAAGTGCCTAAAATCCCCACTTCTCGTTCTATGGCACTGTTCAGACATGATGTAAGTCTCCTTCCTTGCTCATTCGTCTGAGTGCACAGATGTAGCTTAGGAAGAGTATGACCCATGCAGAGGTTTACCAAGACCGGGCAGCCATGTGCCGCTTCCAGTTCTGAGACCAGAGCGGACACAGCTTAGAAGTTGCTGGCAAACCTGCTGAGATCACAGTGTCCATTCACAGACTCCGTCATCCCTCAGCCTCTCAAGAGGCAAGAGTGTTTCCAGGGAGGAAAGGGAAAGGGGGGTGACTACTGCTCCCTTAGAGTCTTGAAAGAGTTCAGGGAGCCAAGGCCACACCATGACCAGTGCTGGATTTGTGACTGATGCTTTAGGGCTGAACTTGGGACTCTGCAGCCTGGGTTGCTAGTGTGATAGCATGCCATGAACTCTAAGATGCCATGTAATTTTTAATAATAATGCAGAACACGGGAGGAACGTTTTTGGTCAGTCAATCTGAGAACCCCTTGAAGCATCTTGTCTAGGTTCCTGTGGTTTATCCTATGTCCCAAAATATCAGAATTAAGTGTACGGCTTAGATAATGTACGACGGACGGCATCTAGTCTCACCTCATCAGGAGCCCTCTTTATAACCGTTTCTGATGCTCATGGAAGAAGTGAGGCCTGACGTATCCCCCACTCCCACTTGGACTCCTTGCGCCCTCCGTACCTGGCCCAGGATGGCGTTGAGGCGTTCTGATTCACAGTCCACCACCACCAGACGCTCCTTTTTCTTCTCCAGGTCCTGGAAGAGCAGCCGGTATCCCTCCTCGGTGGTTGTCAGGATGTTGACCGCTGTCACCTGCCAGTTCTTCTCTGCAGCTGTGTCCAGGACTCTCTGCAGGACTGACAAGCCTGGAGTGGATGAGGAAACAGAGACGGCAAATAATCAACACGCACAACTGCGTCAGCTCCTGCCCGGCACTTGCAGCCGTGCACGCCTGCTTCCCCCAGCGAGGCAGGAGCACGCTCAGTGACCTGTGTTTACTTCTTCCCGCCAGTTGTTCAGTGCGGTCTGTACCCACTTTCCCCAGCATTTACTGCCATTTGCATCTGTTTCCCTGGGCGGTCACTGCTGTCTCCTCCTGACCCAACTGCAACAAGCTCAGCTTGTTCATTGTGTATCTGAACTCCATGAGGCCAAGCACCGGGTTTTTGTCCTGTTCCCAGGACATGGCAGCTAATAGGACTGGTCACTAAAACCATGTCTGAGGCTCAAATCTAACACACTGGATTACCTCATAAGGGCACATTTCCCTGACAGATGATAATGATGGTAACGATGGTGATGATAATGATGGTGGTGATGGTGGTGGTGATGATGATGATGATGTGATGGTGGCAGTTGTGATGGTGACGATGGTGGCAATGATAATTGTAGTGGTGATGATATGATGGTGTGGAGATGATGGTGGAGATGATGGTGGTAGTGATGGTGGTATGGTAGCGGTGGTGGTGCTGAAGATGATGGTGACGGGACACTGATGAAGATCATGAAGATAATGATGGTGACAGCTGCTAACACATACTAAAGATGTGACTATGTTGTGGGTTGTAGGCAACAACAGGCACTTTTCAGTCATTATCTCATTTAATTGTCATACTATCTCCATGGGGCGGAAACACTCTATCTTTGACATATGAGGGAATGAAGGCACGGAGAATCTGACCTACCATGTAAACGGTGAAACTAAGGTGTCGAGAGCCTGCTCAAAGTCACATGACTGGTGAGGAGAAGCTAGGCTTCAGATACAGGTCTGTTCCACACTCTAATAATCGAGGTGTGAGCTGTGAGCCATTTGGCTGAGGACCTGGGGCTTCGGAGCAACAGGAGTTTGGGGAGCTGTAGACTTGATGAGTTAAAGGGTTTCTCTTTCAAAGGGTGTTTCCATACTGCAAGGTAGAGATTGGCTACCGAGAAATCAGTGCACAGAAACAAAGCCCTTGGCTCGCTCCTCCACATGCTTCCTTCTTCCTGGTAATCTCTCCCTCCCTCAGCAGTCTCCCTTCCCCAACCCTTGGCTTACCCCGGTCGGCATCATAAATGTAGACAAATTTCTGCCACTTGTAATGGTCAATGATGCTAATGAGGGCATCTTGCAGTTCGGGGCGCAGCTGAAGGACGAACTGATTTGATGTGTCCACGGGAAAGCTCGGCGTAATGAAGCATACATGGAGAGCCCCACAGAAGGAGGTCAGCATGTTGACGGTCCTTCGTTCATAAAACCCAAAGATGGCGTAGACTCCTTTGGAAAACTGGGAACAGACTAGAATGGAAGAAGAGAAAGATTAGCAGGATGGGGACGATGGCTCAATGGGTAGAGCACTTGTTGCACAGCCACAAAGCCTCGAGTTCTGATCCTCTGCACTTATGTAGACAGCCAGGTGTAGACACACACGCCTGTAACCTCAGTGCTTAGGGGCAGAGACAAAAGGGTCCCTGGGGTATGCTGGTCAGCAGCCTGACCAAACCCGGCCCACCACAGGTTCAGTATTTCTATTCTGGTTTGTTCTCCATTGCTGTGACAAAGCACTCTGACCACTACCAACTTGGGGAGGAAGGGTTTGTTCAGCTTATATCTCCCAGGTCACAGTTCATCAGGGACCCAAGGTAGGAACTCAGGGCAGGAACCTGGAGGCAGGAGCTGGAGCACAGGCCATGGAGGAGCGCTGCTCACTGGCTTGCTCCCTCAACCCAGGTGTGTCAAGTTGACACTAAAGCTATCCAGCACAGTCAAGGACCTTGTCCAAAGGGAATACAGTGAAGAACAATGGGGTGGGGGCACTTCATATTCTTCCCTGGCCTCTGCACGTGTACATGTGGATTTGCACTCCTGTATACACTCCTGCACATATGCATACAACACACACAGATACACAAACACTAATGAACAGAAGATACTGCAAGCAAACTATCAAATGGCTCAGAGACAAATCCACGGCTAGGTCCATCTAAACACGATCGTCTGCTGTTTACCATCTAGATCATCAACCACCCATCCACCTGTGCTTCCTCCTACCAGGCTGCCTATTCCTCTTACCCTCTAACCATCCAATTCAAACTGTCATCCGTCCAAGCCCTGGTCCATCTGTGGACGACCAGTGTTTATCAGAGCTTGTTACATGCCAGTGCTTTTCATGGTTCTTAGTCATAGAACCCACGTACCAAAGCGCCTTCACGTATAAACCCTCCTTGTCTCTACAATAAGTCTATTTTGCTTTTGAGGGCAAAACCAAGGATCAGAACATGAATGGACACAGTTGGGCTGGGGAGATGGCTCAGAGGGTAGAGCACTAGCTGCACAAGTGTGAGCTATGGGGTTTGGATTTCCCAGTGCTCATGTAAAGTTGGGTGTGGTGGCATGTGCCTGTAATCCTAGCACTTCTACAGTCGGGTGAGTGGCGGAGGCAGGAGATCACCTGCATCTCATTGGCCAGTTAGTGGGAGCACACGTGTTCGTGTTATAATCTAGTCAAGTCCAAGGTGGGCAGATATGTTGACAGCACATTCATCTTTTCATTTTGTTTCCCATGACTTCAAAGAAAAGACTGAAAACAGTGTGGGGGCTGGAGGGATGACTTCGTGTTATAATCTAGTCAAGTCCAAGGTGGGCAGATATGTTGACAGCACATTTATCTTTTCATTTTGTTACCCATGACTTCAAAGAAAAGACTGAAAACAGTGAGGGGGCTGGAGGGATGACTCGGTGGAGAAGAGCACTGCTCCTGAGAGAATCCGGGCTCAGTTCCCAGCACCCACATGGCAGCGAACAACCACCCATGACTCCAGTTCCAGGGAATCCGACACCCTCTTTTGGCCTCTGTGGGCATTGCATGACACGGGTGCACTTACATTCAGGCAATATACTCAAACACATAATATATATAAAAAAAAGTAGTGTAGGAAGACACATGCCACCTGCTACTGCTGTGACACAGGTCTATCCCTGCCCTTCCCTGCCCATCCCCCAGGTCACGTGCTTCCTGCTGATATTACTGTGGTGTCCACACTTCCTGCTAGCTGCTTTTCAGACTCTCCAGAGTATCAGCCCTAGCAATAGCTTAGCAGTGTAACTGTCCCCACAGGATCCATTCTGGAGGATTCTGGCACAGTTAGCAGTGCTGGTTTGTGGTTGATCACATTGCTGCTTAGAATATAGTATGAGTAAGACCAAGGGTAGAGAGTCAGACTCTAGGGCAGCGAGTTGTAAATTCTGCTTCCCTATCTGACAGACGGTGGAGTGTTCACAGTCTTTCCCTTGGCCAGAATGCCACCCCCAGGTCATCGCCAGGGCCGGAAAACTCCCCTCTTGCTGCAAGTAGCAAGGAAGGTCAGCCGTCCTCTGTACAAAGCATTGGGGAGTGCTCGTGCTCTCAGTCCCTTAGTGTCTATTAGTGTTCTGAGTCCTTCTCCCAACTCATGACTTGAATATTCCTACAGCATTACCACTACCAATATTATTCATCCATCCATCCATCCATCCATCCATCCATCCATCCATCCATCCATCCATCCATCCATCCATCCATCCATCCATCCATCCATCCATCCATCCATCCATCCATCCATCCATCCATCCATCCATCCATCCATCCATCCATCCATCCATCCATCCATCCATCCATCCATCCATCCATCCATCCATCCATCCATCCATCCATCCATCCATCCATCCATCCATCCATCCATCCATCCATCCATCCATCCATCCATTCTTGGGGGTGTGTGTGTGTGTGTGTGTGTGTGTGTGTGTGTGTGTGCCACAGTATGCCTTGTAGAAGTCAGCTTTCTCCTTTCATTCTGTGGGTCCCATGAATTGAACTCAGGCTGTCAGTCTTGGCAGCAAGCACCTGTACCCTCTGATCCATTTTGCTGGCCCCCAGAATATTATTTCTTTAAAGATAAAAAGTATT